CTCCCATGCTCAGCTTTGAGAATCTTTAAAATCACCCCATTTTTATCTCTGTCCGATTCTCTTTGTCACAACAATTTCTATTCAACCCTCAAAATTTATATATGTATGATCCTATCACAGGAAATCCCACTAAAGAAACAGTCTCTACTTGGTACTCTCTGAGAGGTGAGGCTCATACATGAACAGGACAACACATCACAGCAATGCAATGCAGCTGGAGAGCCCAAGGGCCCGCTGCACCAACCTGTGTACTCCGCACCATCTGTCATCTCCTATTTTACCTTTTCCACTCATATGTAAAAGCTTGCAGCGTTGAACGAATGCTATGGAGAGAAGAGGGAGAACGTGCAGAATGTGACTGAACTTGCCCAAGTGATAGACAGAACTAAATGTGCCTGTGGTGTCCTGAGGGTCAGGATCATGGACTCCCAAGCAGCCTGACTGCGCAAACCCCGCCTCTCCCACTGGCTGGGACCTGGAACTGGAGTGAGCCTTTGATTGCTTCATGCTGCCATTTCCTCATTTAAAACAGAGTTACTAACAACAACCTACTGGATTATTGTGAAGACTAGGAATTATGCTACTAAGAAGTGCTTAGTATGTATGTATGTATGTATGTATGTATGCATGCGTGTGTATGTATGTATGTATCTATCATCTATCTATCTCTATCTTCTATCATTTATCTCTCTATCTTCTATCATCTATCTTCTATCATCTAATGTATGTATGTATGTATGCATGCGTGTGTATGTATGTATGTATCTATCATCTATCTATCTCTATCTTCTATCATTTATCTCTCTATCTTCTATCATCTATCTATCTATCATCTATCTATCATCTATCTATATTTATCTTATCTATCATCTATCTATCTATATGTATCTATCTATCTATCTATATACAGATATATTCAGATATACTCAGATATATCATGCTTTAGCTAAAATTTCTTGGTGGGAAAATCTGGACACTTGCTCAAATACTTGAAGAAAACTTGACCTGTAAGGCTTAAAATGGTAAATGAGAATTTTCTTGGGGGGGTGGTCTTTTTGAAGACAGGATCTCCCTGTAAACACAGGTGACCTGGAACTTGCTATGTAGACCAGGCTGGCCTCAAACTCACAGAGATCCCCCTGCCTCTGCCTTCTGAGTGCTGGGATTAAAGGTGTGCACCACCATGCCTGGCAGGGATAATTTTTAAATAAGATAAGAATATTTAAATAAAAAAACAGAATTTTAAAATAAAAGTATCAAAACTAAAGGTGTGGTGAAACACTTTTTAAAAATACTTTATTATTTTTATTTTATGTGTATGCAAGTATTGCCTGCATGTAGATGAGTGCACCCATGTCATGCAATGCCCCCGGAGGACAGAAGAGGCTGTTGGATCCCCTGGAAGTGGAGTTACGGACAATTGTTAGCTGCCATGTGGGTGCTGGGTTTTGAACCCGGATATTCTGCAAGAACAGTCAGTGTTCTTAACCGCTGAGCCATCTTCTCCAGCCCTGACACACACTTTTAATCCCAGCACTTGGGAGGAATTGGCAGCGGCAACTCTGAGACAAAACCAGCCTGATGTAGATAGGGAGTTCCAGGCCTGGCCAGCTGGGGTTACCTGAAGACCATGCCCCCCAAAAAAATCTATATATATGGAGAGAGAGAGAATGAGAGAGTGAGAGAGAGAGACCGAGAGAGTGAGAGAGAGAGACTGCTGTACACTATCGGAAATATCTGATGATTCTTGATTTAATTCTAACATTGTATTTCAATAACAAGAATAAGTGGATTAATGGATTTTAGCACTAATTTTATTTAGTAAATAGAACAGTTTTAATTTCTTGGGAAAAAAGGCTAGAAAAGATTTGACAGAATTCATATTGTCTTTAAAGATATGAACATTTATTTTAAAGAAACTTTTGGCATCTTTAAAGATTGAAGATCTAGATTGGTAACCTAGGTGCATCAGCATCTTTGTCGTGCTGTGACTTCACTTCTCCACTGAGGGACGGGAAGTCCTAAGCATCGGGCAGCATCTCAGGCAGCCATGGTTGCAAGGTGACGGGGGTCCTTGTCGAGGGGGACTGTGCTCCACCTAGATAACACGAAGAACCCACGTACCTTACTTAAGAAGTGGAACACTCAGGGTTCAGCTATTCTCTTCCCTTTCCCACTCATGAAGCCCAAACTTTCTAAGTTTCTGGGATGCCCCAGACCCCAATGGGAGGGCCACAGGAATCGCCCTGAGTTACATGTTCTAAAATAGGATACAGCTAGAACTACTACAGTATCAAAATAACCTCATGTGTGCGATAAGTTTGGAAATTAAAATTAGTTTAGCCGTATTAGAAAACTATCATTTTGGTAAAACATGTTTAGCCATGAAACTCCAAGTACTTTCAACAATACTGGAATCCAATTTGGCCAAAGAAAAGAAAGGAAAAACATTGACTTACAGCGTAAAGTGTCAAGCTAAATTCACCACAATTCTATCTGGACATACAAATCTTTTATTAGAAAGAACACAAAACTAGCTTTCATGCTGACAAACTTTAAAGGTCTTACTTTAACGTCAATACTAAATTTTGTATGGATTTTTTTCTCTGTGTGTCAAAAGTGGACTCCTTGAAAAACAACAAAAAAAAGAGAAAGAAATACCATTTCTCATATACCCTTCTAGAACCAACTTGAGAAAATTCTTGCAATGTCTGAAGGCAATCTTGCACTCTTGTTGTGTGTGGCTGTTTAAAACATCATCATTTGAAAGCAAAGGGCTGACGCGAAGCCGTTAGAGGAAGGGGCTGGTGAACAGGGATACCATGAGAAACCTACCATTGCGTTGTGCTGAGAAGTGGGGGTCCTAGGGCCACAAGTCTCCTGTGTCAGCAGAGAAACTGGCTGAAATTCGTCAGAGTGAGGCTTGTTGGGAAAACTCACAGGCAAGGGAAGGTGAAAGGCGGGGAGCCCCTCACTGTCCTCTCCTTCTACTTTCTGTCTGCTTGTCACCATGGCTACCTCTCCATCTGTTTCCCCATACGGAGAGGCTGGTCGCTTGGAAGACATCCTGGAAGGAACAAAAGAGTAGAAAATAATGAAACCTCCACATAAATCCTTAATGCCGTCATTGTGTGGTTAGCGGCCATTGTAACAGAAATGCGTTTTTGTGTTAGCAGAGAGCAGGAAGCCGTCCAAACGCCACTGCACAGTGCACACAATCAGAAACAATGGCCAAGCAGGTAGCAACAGAACAGGGCTTGTTTGCTGTGAGAATAATACATTAATATAACACTCTCTTGTATTCTGGCTTCTTAAACAAGAGAATTCACCCAAGAATGCTGCATAATGAAAGTCCATTCCATTTTGAAGGAAAGAAAAGTGCCGTCTAGTTTTACACTTTGATAGACCTTATTCAAGACAGACCATCGATGAATAGCGAATACTGTGGGCAGTTTAAAAAGAAAGCACTAAAATTTCCTGCATCCAAAAAAATAAACTAAATAAATGATCTCCATTCAAACAAATTCGCAGTGGATTAAAAGTAAGGTTGATGTGGAACATAGAAATATTGCTTACATGCAGCCCTCAGAGAAACTGACAAAAAGTTTTCTATTTGTTTAAAACTTAAGAATTGAATACAATTTGTAATTAGGTACTCTTGAAACATTTGAGAATTTCACTTATCTTAATTCCCCAAATGAATCCATTTTGGCATTTAGTTCTAATGCCAAGGGGGCAGCTAGGTTGTGAGACAGATCGAAAGATTTTCCAAAGTCCCAATTCTACCTTCATAACTCTGTAAATGATTTAGATGTGAATTCACAGTTATTTACTCCTTAGAACATTTAGAATGGAAAGAGATCCCAGAGTAGATGGCTTTGTTTTGATAAGCAGCAGCCTATGTGAAAATGGGCTTAGACAAGGTAACAAGAATTGAACATATTCTTCACGGTTCACTGGGATTAAGGCTATTATGAGAGGTTGGAAATGCACTTAAACATCATTTTAGTGAAAGAGACAGCACCTTTCCTTTCCAGAAAAGTTGGACATAAATTGAGTTAAAATGCCTAATGAGAAACAATCAATGTTCTTGTAGTATTTACAACTTCATCTGACCTCGAAAGAACTGTATTATTTGTTGTTCTTCTTCAAGAAATAAAGGGTGTTTCGATAATCCTCCATTTTCCTTTAGACCAGTGGGAAGCAGGGCAGAAGAAGGACTCATAAACCAAGAGCTATCCCATGTCTGTCACATACATCATACATTTTTTAATCTAAATGTGTTTCTAAGAGATTTGTTCCTTATCAATGAAGACCAATCTCGTTATTAGTAGAGCTGAAAGTTTGCAAAGACAGATCTAGTCAGGTATTGAAGGTGTTCTACTAAGAAATAACAGAAGAGTGGAATCAAAATACAGCCTTAGACAAACACTGACAAAATACTATTTCAGTCACTTACCAGCTGTGTGGTTTGACCTTTCTTGTTAAGTTATTCATCTACAAACTGAGATATAGTTTGTGCCTCTTTGGGCTTCTTCAAAATGAAATATATACCAGAGACTCACAGCAGAGAACTGAAATCAGATTAGATGCTTATGTAATGAAAGCCCTTGCCTAAAGACTTCAGAACTGGCATATGGCCTCAAAAAAGACAGAAAGATTTCCCTGTAATTGTTTATCTGCAAAAACACCATGCAAACCAAGTCTCCCATTAGAAACAATGCTCCCTGACCAGTAGTACTCAACTGTAAATGGGTGGCATGAACTAGCGAGTGCTTTCAAGAGATGCTAACAGTAACTACAGTTGCTGACCAGCTAAGATCAGAACAGAGGAAGAAGAGGAAGTATTGGCAGCAACCAAGGGGCACCAGTGTGCAGCAGAAACAGACCCGGCCGGCAGAGCTCAGACATTGGTAACCGCTTCCCAGCCATTACCAAGGCCTAGTCCAAGTTCACTCTAAAATAAAGAGAAGGATGTAAGGGGGATGAAAATATAGTTGAAATGCTTAGGTGTCAGTAGCAACACCAAATCTATCACTAAATAGCTACATTGTTGCATGTAATAACTCCTAAACACAGACATACTTGAATCCCAGGGTTCTGATTCTATAAGCAAACGTCTTATTTCCATATTGGGAGAGGATGAAAACACACTCCTGAAATAGTCATTTCTTGGTGGAGGGATTTATCCTACTATATTAATACAAGGACTTTTAACTATTTGCTGGTTTCATGTGTAGCTTAATCATAGGAAGACTACACGTTTGTCACACAACTTCAGGGCTTGTGGTCTGTCTGTGCATTACCATGCCCACCCTACTGGCACTGTGGGGGTCTCCGCCACAGCCTCCTTTGCAATTAGTCTTCCTGACCCTGCAAACTCGGAGCTGCTGACAACAGCCAACCTCTGAATCATCAAAGAAGAAAGCTAGCTCACTGTGTCTCCTAAGTTAATACAATTCCATGACTTTCAGAATTATGACAGAAGTGTTGCTTTCCACTTTGTTAATATCATTAACAAACCCCAGAAATCCAGAATTAGACACAGTAAGGTAGAAAAATGGGATACTATTCTCAATTTCTATGAGCACCTTATACAGAGATTAACTTTCTATACAATGGTTAAGGCATTTCTGCACACAACATCCTATGGAGTCAAAAGTTCAGGGTCTAAAACAATGAGCAAGAGGGAGTCACAGCACCAAGGGAACTGATCCCGAAACATCACCCATTTCCCCGTCATTCCAGCTCCATTTCCAACGTCTTATAAAGTGTCTTTTCATGTGTTGGCATTGGAAAATGTTGCTAATAAAGCTCAGGCAAAGATAGATAATTATAACAAAGGTACTCATGGTTATATTTCAGCAAGTCTACTTTAGTAAAAAGTAAAATACTTAAGAGATTCTAAGTATAGCTTTCAGACTGATGACTATACAGCTGTAACCAGCCTGTCGTTCAAGCTATTGGTAAAAAATGAACCCAAACACTACATTTTTGCAGTTCTGCCTAAAAGAGGGCTCCGTCTTCAGGGGAGGAATGTCTCAGTTTTACAGGCAGCACAAAGGCACCAAGGATTCAGTATGTCCCACTGGGCTGTGTACTGCTAGTTCCGGAGCGCCCATGACTGTACTGAGGGCGAAGGTACTTTATAACACCCAGAGCATCTGGGATGGTGATCATTCGAATGTGCTTTAACAAAGAAGAAAACTCATAGTTCAGAGGGTCTGACACTAGGCGGACTGATTCAATCCAACACGGCACGCCTGGTGATGACACAACAGCGTGACAGTTTTATGTCTGGTCAAGAACACTTTCTTCAAAAACTTGCTGTCTCATTCCAGGCTGTGCTGGTTAGTTTCAGTCAACTTGACACCAACTAGAAGGAACTTCAAGTAAGGAATTTCCTCTGTCAGGCTGGCCTTTGGGCATGGCTGTGGGGCCTGTTCTTGATTGATAACTGCTGTGGGAGGACCCAGCCCACTCTGCGTGATGCCATCCCTGGGCAGCTGGGCCTGGGCTGTGTAAGAAATGTAGCTAAGCAAGCCAGTAAGCAGTGTTCATGCCTGGTTTTGGTTCCCAGTTCCTACCTCTGTTTCCCTCTATGATAGACTGTAACCTGTAAGCAAAATAAACCCTTTCTGCCGTTTCTGCCGCAAAGTTGCTTCTGGTCAGTGTTCTATCACACCTCTAGAGAAGCAAACTGAAACACAGGTCAAGAGGGATGTTTTCAACTCATCAATAATCGCTGACCTACCCCTACTATGTGCAAAACACATACCTAGGAGAATTTTCAAAATAATGGTCTCTCTGATTCAAGAGGATTATCAACTGACCGAGAAGATTTTAGATAAAGGGAAAAAACAAGGAAAGTTAGATGAGGCCAAGAGCCAACTGACATGAAATCCTGCTCTACGCCCCCTAGCCACCAGGAGGCAGAGAAGCCTAGAAGGTTCCAGAAAGAGGCTTACCTGAAACCCCCTAAGGGACAGAGGCTGTTTCGGGATAAGTAGAAAGGGAATTTCATGTAGGAAGTAATGATAGAAGCAGAGATGCAGACGGAGATACTTTTAGAAAGTCAATATAAATTTAGGGTTCAAGTCTATTTAGGAAAAGCAGCAGATTGAGAACCATGGACCGCATCCCATCCCTGCTCTGTAACCTCCTGGAGTTGCTGAGTTAGATGAATGGAGCAGACAAGCAACAGCCTCCTTGGGAGAAGCTCGTTTTTCCTTTCTTTCTTTTCTTTTTACTGTAAGGTTCTGCGTAATCATGCTACAGTGGTTCATCTGAGAGAATCATTTTAAACTTACCGGGTCTCTTTTGAACATGGTGGCAGACGGTTCTAATCTCAGCATGTGGGAGACAGAGGCAGGCAGATCTCTGTGAGAACAAGGCCAGCCTGGTCTACACAAGTTCTGGTCCAACTGATGGGGCTACAAAAGAGACACTGTCTCAAAGCTACTGGGTTTCCTGTTGGCAGAAGGGTCTCTAAGTGTGCTCTAAGCACTGCATGCATAGGATGCTTCCATTTGTGTTCAGACACGGAGAACAAACTCATAGGTACTAGAGGAGGGTTGAGAATGGCGATAGAAAACTAAACCAGTGGCCCTCAACACTAGCTGCACAGGAAACTTACCTGGAGAGGTTAACAAAACCATGATACCTGGGTGTTCCCTCCAGAAACTACTGTTACTGGTTGTGGAGCGTAGACGCAGTAACACAACTGTTAAGAGCTCTTAATGATTCTAAAAACAACAGTGACGGTGACAAAACCTTTGCATGCATCAAAACAATGCTCGAGCCACGTGGGGCCCATGGAAAGGTCATGTTTTATGACGGAGGGGCTGTGCAGTGTGATTAAATTACAGGTATTGAAATGGGGAACATTGTGGTGGCATTCTTCTAGGGTCCAGAATCCTCCCGATGATCATTTCATGAGGGAGAGACAGAGAAGCTGTCGGATTCCATGTTACCACATTTGCTGATGGAGCTGAAGCTGATGATGGCATCTCTGTGTACAAGAAGCGAGCTATTCTGCCTCCCAAGACTACGCAGAAGGACCAGCCC